TTACCAAGGTGTCAGATGCCAGCATCCTTGAAATGACTCAGACAGTGACTGGCTACCCCAGCTTTCATACCAAAAACCTTGTTTCCAGAATCCACTGGGTCCACAGGGTTGGTCGCCTAGGCTCTCTGGAGGCATAACCCTGAGGTGCAACCTTCAAAGAATCATGGAAGAGGAAACTACCCCATTATCACACACACACACACACACACACACACACACACACACACACACACACTCCTGCCACCACAGTCCCTACCTGGCTCACCAGCTTCCACACCTGAGGTGTCTGATATGGCTCCATCGCCATGTTTTCTCTGAAAGGATCTAGCCTCTTTCTTTTAATAAGGTTTAGTAGTTCATTTAAGACGTGGCAGAAAATTCAGAAAGCACAAGGGAATCTGCACACTTATTCAATATTCTACCACCCAGAAATGCAATAGCGGACATATCTTGGGAAATGTCTTCCCAGATGTGTCCTATGCCAGCCGATAGACTTTTGAGGAAAGCGGCCCTCGGTGGAAGGAGATGAGTGGATGTACTGGCTGACACACCTGCACATCTTTTCCACAGGAGGCCATAGAATCACAAACAGGCGCAGCCCCTCTGGCTTCTTCCTTCACCCATGAGAACAACTCTTGTGGGGCCATGGGACTAGCTTCCTGATATTCCTGAGGGCCACTGTGCCCCTGTGAACACAAGCCAGTGACCCTGCCCCTAGAACCCCCATATTCTTGTAGTGGGGTCAGTCCAGGGTCTCAAAATGGACCACCCTAAATATCACCTTGCAGAGAAAGAACTCACGCGAGTTGGAAATGGCTTCTTCCCCTCCTACTTCTCTCATCAGCCATTAATTTTCTCCCTGTTAAACGCCTCAAGCCAATGCTAACAAAATTAAACTTGACAGAGATGAATGTGAAGTCCTCAAGACTAAAACTGTTGCGCTCCACATAAACAGGTTGAGGGAGGTGAGGTAACTCTTGTGGGAAAACTCCCAGGAAACTGAGGCAACGGGAATGCTAGGTCCCATTAACAGATACAAGGGCTCCAGAGAAGGAGGAGGGTACAGCCTGAATGCTGGATTTGCTATTAGGCACTCTGCCTCAGGACACAGTTTCCCAGCTGCCCCTGAGGAGCAAATGGGGATAGAGAAGGCCCTGGGAGCCTCGGGGGGTGGGGGGGGGGGCACTAGAGATGTCTGACCAAGCAGGATGTTTAAGGGAAATAGCTCAAATTCTTAGCTTCAGGGACAAGTGGGTGACCATCTGCCCCATCGCCCGCCTCCTTTCACGGCACTTTAAACCCAGGCCACAGTCCAGGCCTACTGGCATTAATCTCAGCACTTGGGAGAGAGACAGACAGATCCATGCATTCAAGACCAGCCTGATCTACACAGCAAGTTCAGGCCAGCCAGGGCTACACAGTGAGACCCTGTGTCAAAACAAATAAACAAAAAAAGGCTATGAAAGCTAATAAATGGGCTGTACAATCTTGTTTACAGTTCTATAAAATAATAAGTAAGTAAAGAAAAAAACGAAGGGTCTGGGACACAGTTCAGTGGCTTAGCCACTTAGCCTTCTCAAAGCCCTAGGCTCAATCCCCAGTGCCACAAAAATCAACTCATTAATTCTCTCTGCTGCGGTTTTCTTTTAGGACCTTTCCTGTATCATTTGGGTTGATAACGACTTAACTATTTTTCTAATTAGAAAATAAAAAATTTCTCAAGACTGAAATTCTTAATTGGGGAGATGTTTGTGTCAGTGGCAAAGGCAGGCTGTAGATAATATACATGATATTCTATTACTACAGTCACACCAGAGCCCAGCTTGACAGTCTCTCTTAAAACTAAGCATGTTGCTGTCATATGACCCAAGAGCTGCACCCCTGAGCATATTTTCCCCCAAGACCTGAACATGAACACCCACAGCTAGAAGCAGCAGACATCCCTCAGTGGGCCATGATTCAGCAGAGGATGAGGTTTCCATGCTGTGGAACACTGCCCAGCCATGGGAGGCACAAGCCACCAACACACAAACTAGAGATAAATCTCAGGACTGTGCTGAGTGCAAAAGCCACTCCCCAAAGGTTACCGGGCCATGCCTTAGACTCTGCATGTAGAACAGTTTTCAGAGTGCCAAATGGCCACAATTGGGACCCCCGGGGAGGCTGCTGTGGGTTCCAGACAGACTGGGGTAGACAGGAAGGTATGTGCTAAAAAAGGGGGGTGGAGCCTGGAGGGATCCTTGTGATGGAAGGTTCTGTATCACAATGAGATCAGTGTCACCATCCTAGATGTGACATCATGCTAGTTCTGGCAGGAAATTGAGTAAAGGGCATTCCATGTCTTTTTATTTCTTTATGTGTGAGTGGGTGTGGCCATGTGTGGGTGTGGCCATGTGTGGGTGTGGTCACTGTGGATGTGGTTGTACATGTGTGTGCTCATCAGTATGTGTATGTATAGAGGCCAGAAGTTGACTTTGAGATGTCTCTCAACTGTTTTACCTGTGTGTGTGTGTGTGTGTGTGTGTGTGTGTGTGTGTGTGTGTCCGCGCGCACATGGATGTGTGTATATATGTAGGCCTGAGTTACTGTTGCGGCTCCCTTTATTGTCCTTCACCTTATGTTTTGAGGCAGTCTCTAGATGAAACCAGATCTTACCATTTGTGTTAGTCTGACCCAAACTCCTGATGTCTACCCACCACACACACACACACACACACACACACACACACACCTCCCAAGCACACCCCACCTGGGGTTATAGGCAGGCCTCCTTGCCTATCAAACTTTTCATCCTTTCTGGGGATTTGAACTCTAGTTCTCATGCTTGCATGCTGAGTCATCGCCCCAGACTTCTCCACCTTAGTTTTTGAGACAGGGCTTCTCATTGAACCTGGAGCGTGCTGGTTTGGGCTAGACTTTGCTGGTTGGCAGGTGTGCGCAGGATCCTCCTATCCCTGCCCACCCCCTGACCCCATACCTTGAGGAGGAGACAGGGCACCTCCACACCTGGCTTTTTACATGGGTCTGGGGACTCAGATTCAGGTCTTCCTGCTTGAGTGGCAAGCACTGATTCATCTCCCCAGCCCCTCTCCTTATTAAATTCAAAATAAGGTTGATTTTAAATAGAGACTGGAATCCAGGAGTGGGATATATGCTTTGTATGAGCAAGGACTTGGGGTCAACCCCGAGTCCCCTTAAAACTGGAGGAGAACCCTACGTGTATTCATGTATTCGTGTGTGGGGGAGGATGCGGGAAGACAGACCACAAACCTGAGAAGTCGGCCACAGGATTGTCGCTCTGAAGAGCTTATTTTCTTCTCTTCCAGCCTCTTATTATTTGACTTGTTCCAACAAGCAGGTGTGACTTGGTGACTTTTTAGACCCATGAAGTGGCAAAAGAAAAAAAAAGCAGAAGAGAAGTGTTGGGGGTGGGCATTGGAAGTGCTGCTCCCTCCGCTCATCTTTCTCAGAAAGGGTTGGTTCTGGATCTGTGGGAACGTTTTTTAAAATCTGGGGTAGCAGGTCCTAGGAATGAGGTGGAGGCTGTAGCTGGCCCACTCAAGCCTCTCTGCTAATCTACTGACCCCCAGACAATCTGGACCAACCCATTCTACTAGTCTATCCCTTCCCTCGCCAGCCCCAGAATTTGTTCACTGACTCAACCACCCAGGGACACATGAAGTAGAAGACTCCCTGAGTCATCGCCGTAGGCCCAGAACCACCACAGTACCTTGCCAGTATCATCTCCCATAGTTCTAAGGAAACTAGGAGGTAAGGGCTGAGGTTATTGCCATGGTACCGGTGGGGAAACTCGAGGTTAACTGTGTATCCACCGAAAGTACCCCCCACCTAAGACAGCACCTCCGAGATCCTCAGTCTGTCTCCTGTACCTCTGACCTGGGCCTGGGAAAGCATGGCTGCTACAGTGCATACAGGTCTTTGGAGCAGCTGGCTGAAGGGAGATAGGGGGAGAGCTTGGAGCTGGCCAGCTGGCCAGCAGCTTATTTGTAGCCAGGTAGGGAACCGGCCTGTTCCCGGCTCAGCAGGAAGCCCTTAGTTGGACACAGGGGAAGACAGATGTGCCTCTGGCATATACCCAGCCTCCATAACCTCTCCCACCCACTGTGAGGTCAAGCTGGGCAGCTAGAGGCCAGCAGGATGCTTGGCAGCAGCTGCAAAAAAAACACTGGCTACAGCTGGAAATAGACCAGTTTAGACCAGTTACGGGGCTGGGGGGTGGGAAGAGCTCAGCCAGAGTCAGGAAGCTGACTAGGCATGAGGAATTTTGGCAGACAGGGGCACAAAGTGACATGACTCCTTCCCTCCCCATGTGACTCCCTCTTTGCTGGTGTGTTTAGTAATGGGCATTCCCAGGCTACGGGCCAGTAGAGGATTAGGAGAAAATGGATGGAAGATTCTGGAAGGGAAAACTGTCCTGTCCTCCTGCAGTACTGGACAAACCAGGAATCCTGCTCTTCCAGCCTTTTGGAAGTTTCTTGGCTCTCTACCATCAATCAGATTGATGGGGGTAGAATCTTCTGTCGGTCCTACAATTGGTGTAAGGCTGTATTGTTTATATAAGTACCTCTCGACCTTTGCCTTTTATGAGTCTAGCTCTGCCTGGAAGGCCCTCTGCCCATTGTCCAGGAACAAATTCCTGGTCATTTTTTTAAGCTGCAACTCTAGAATCCCCTTGAGTCTGGGGATCTCACCTGCTACTTGAAGCTTTTTTGCCTGGACGGTGACTGATGTGTTGTTTAGTTCTTGAGGATGTCAAGACTTGCCCATAAGTGATACGGTTGTGATTAAGCTTTATCTCAGTGTGCAGCTATCTCTCTGTGTATATCTGTGTCCCTACAAGGTACTAAGCAGTGGGGACTTCAGATCTAGCCTCCCTCCCCTCTGTCCCTGTGACCTGCCCAAAGTTTCCACATCTGGAAAGAATAGTTGTGTGAACCCACAGGACACTCACAGCCTGTGTTTTCCCTTGTTTCTTCCAGGCATCTATAAAGGACACTGCTTCAGGATCAACCACTTCCCAGAGGACAATGATTATGACCATGACAGCTCAGAGTACCTCCTCCGTGAGTGACAAGTACCCCAGCTGCTTTGTATGAGGAGGGGAAAGGAAGGGAGGGGCTAGAGAGGTGAGCCCTGTGGGCTTGGACCCAGTTCTTTGTCCTGTGAGCGTGAGCGAGAGCGTTTTTCATTCAGAAGTCCTGTGCTCAGAGGGTGGGATTTAGCCCAGCAGTGAGTGCCCTGACATGTGGGTGACCTGAGTGTGGGTGGGTACAGTAGGTCAAGGCCCCAGACCCACAAACAGTGAAGCCCAAGGGACTGCTGGTGGGCAAGTGAAGGTAAAGGTAGGGACTCTGGCTGGGGGTAGAGTGCTTGCTTAGCTTGTACAAAGCTCTGGGTTCAATCCCCAGCACCGTTAGAACCCAGCTTGCTGGCCCACAATGTGATCTCAGTATTCAGGAGGTATGGAAGAGGACGAGGAATATGAGTTCATCCTCTGCTGAACAATAAATGTGAGGTCAGGCTAGTTTACATGAGCCCCAGTCTCCAGTTTAGAGGGGGGAGGGAGGGAGCTAGAGAGATGCTAAGAATGCTGGCTGCCCCTCCAGAAGAGGGGTTCAATTCCCAGCTTCCCAGCACACACAAGGCCACTCACTCACAACTGTCTGTAACTCTGGTTCCATAGGAATCTGACACCCTCACACATAAGATTAATTTTAAAAAAGAAAGATAGGAGCTCTCTGAGCCCAGTATGAGTGTTCACACCAACAATTCCAGCCCTCAAGAGGCAGAGGCAGGAGGATCAGGAGGCCAAGGTCCCCCTCTGCTGTGGGATGAATCTGAGGCCAACCTGAGCTCTATGGAGCCCAGTCTGGAAAAAGCTAAAAAGCTCTGCCCAGGCCTCACCGTCCTGAGGGATGGAGAGCCTGCTTCAGGAGCACATTATGTAGGGATTTAACTCACCAGCCCAGACAGCAGCTTCCTGGAGTGCTAGGAATCCCAGAGTTGGGGTTGGAGGTGGCAGAGTACCCCAGGTGGCCCTAAATCCCTTCAACCCTGACTAATGCAGCCTCAACTGTGCCTTTGGGCTACCCTTAGGCCCTGGCTCCCATCTAATCTTGTGACTAAGTGGTGCCTCCCAGTTGGTACCCACAGCATACACTGAACTGCAGTCTATCCAGAGTTCATCTGTGGGCCTCTGAGCGCATTTTCTCCAGAACGCAGGAAGATGCAGGCAGAGAGGGGCTAGAAATGGATGCTAGAATTTCTGTGTCACTCCTCCTTCCCCGGCAGCCAAAAGACACAAAGAGCTGCTTCTCTCGGTGCCCCTGGGGCTCCGGCCCAGCCTTGCACAGGGAGGATCGATACCAGTGTGTCCTTAGAGAGAGCACAATTCACTGTGCACCTGATTGCCCCCCGCCCCCCCCCCCGACAAGAAAGGCTTCAGATTATGAGTCATCTGATAAAATAGAACAGCGTGCAGTTCCCATGGAGCTGAGGCCATGTCAGGCTGCTCCAGCCAGGCCCAGAACCTGAAATAATGTGACCAGAGCCCTGCTTCCAATCCACCTACCTCCCTTATCTTCTCCTCTTTCATCCCTTATCTTCTCCTCTTTCACCCTCCAGTCCTCAGATTCTACATATCAGGGGCCCACACTCTACCAGGCAAATGAGATCCCCTTCGAGTGGCTGGAGATCACTGTGGGGGTCGCACAGTGTACAACTGGAGGATTGAGGCTTGCATAAATTATGGTGTGAACGGCATCCTTCTGGTTCTGCAAGGCAGAACACATGAGAGGGAGCTGGAGGGACAGGGCTGAGTGGCAAGAGCTGTGGCCCCTAGGAAAGACTGTGGCAGCTTCTTCATTTTGCAGCTTGACAGAGAGAAGCCTTGGGAATAACACCATCAGTGGCACTGTCCTCCAGAAGCCAGAGTTGGGAGCCCTGGTGGTTTGGTCCACACAGTCAGCCTCCTGGGGTCCAGAATGGGATGGAGAAGGGTCGAGTAAAGGTCCGGAGTCACGCGAAGCATGTGGCCAGAAGCTTCAGCCCTGATGCCACAGGTCTTCCTGCCAGCAGTGTCCCCAGGGGACTGGGGATGCCTCAGAGTGATAGTATCAGTGTGACAGTTGTCTCTCTCACAAAGGACATGTTCTCAAATGTACCAGATCCCCAGGGAGACCTGCTGGTACACAACAAGCCCAGAGGTACCCAGGCCGGCAGGCTCTGGCTAATGGTGACTTTGGAGGTAGGAGGCAGAGGTGACTTCCTAATAAGCTAGTGTGTGTCCATTCGGTGGCTTGGCCCTGAAAACTGATTCCAACATTCCCCCAGAACAGAAGGAGCCAGCTGCTTACACAACTCTGAGACCTGTGAAGGTCATAGTCCCTGGAGCCACAGGGCCTGTATCTGCCAGGCTGCCCTGACTCTCGGTATTCAGGGTCCTGGCGTCTGTTCAGACTCCAAATGGTGGAGAAGCCCAGGAGAGTGGTCTCTGGGGGCTTATATGATGATCTCATTTGTTTCTTCATTCATTTACCGGAAACCTGTGACTCTGTCATGTGCCTGCCACCATCCTGAGCAAGTGGGATACAGTAGCATGGAAAAAGCTCTGCCCTCCGGGTGCTGATCTGGTGGCAGAGTGCAGGAATTCGTAGAGCACAAAAGGTTCTGTGGCAAGGGAAGGCCCCCAGAGACAGCAACCCAGCAGGCCCGAGACTAAGAGACTCTCACCCTGCCTTAGAAAATTCAAGCAACAAGTCAACCATGACTCTCCAGCCCTAAGCCTCCCAGGGAAGCTGGGCTTGTATTTTCAGTTACATTATTGTCACTGGATTCCTGGGGACTCTAAGCATTGCACACCACAGCTTGGGATTGGAGGAAGTCACCACCTCACGCCCTTCAGGCTTGTCCTTGGGTGTGTCTTGTCCCTACAGGCCCTGCCTGTCTTGCCCCAGGCCCGGCACCTCCCTCCTAGGTTCAGAATTTCCAGTTAGATGAAGGGTGTCTGTGCCAAGCCACGACGCTGCCGTGAGTCCACGGTGAAGCCTAGAGTAAGTTATAAGATAGCACCCATCCTCCAGACAGACACATATCATTGTGGCTTGATGTGGTCACGTGGCTCGGCTGATTCTAGCCTCTCATCCCTCAGACACGTGTTCAGCAAGGCTCTTGAGCATCTGAGCCCAAGTGGCAAGGGACAGGTGCTTGTAGGACTCACCCAGATGGAGGGCTCTGAGCCACAGGCCTCCAGAGTCTTTGAAGGAACTGAAGCACCCTTCTGATGGGAGATGCCCTTCTGTATAAATGTTTCTCTTATTGGTTGATGAATAAAACACTGTTTGACCTATAGCCAGTAGAGGCAGGAAGATAGGCGGGGCTAGGTGATGAGGAGGATTCTGGGAAAGGTTTCCAGAGAGGTGCCAGAAGAGGGTTGCCAAGTGGAGACGGGGAGGATAGGATGCGCCAGGCGTTCTCTGGTAAGATGAGGCCATGTAGAAATGCATAGATTAGTAGTTATGGGTTAATAATTAAGACAGAGTAGCCAATAAGAAGCCCTATCCATCAGCAAAGTTTTATAATTAATATAGCAGAACATGGCAGAACAGAAAACTCCAGATACACGCTTCTCTCTGGGCCACCTGACTAGTCTTCAGAAGGCAGGGCAGGGCCTTGACCTGAGTCTGGCCATCTCAGCTCACAGGCCTGTTTCTGAAGCACACCGGAAGCTACAGAAAGCTAAGAGAGTAGGGGAGGGAGTGCTGGGGAGAGGAGTTTTCTTTAATGCCCCCACACAATCCCTTCTCTGTGGAGCAGGGGCTCACACTGGGTGTACAGAAAGGAGACAAACATCGCCTTCAGAGGCTGCAAGGCCCCAAGCCAGTCAGTCAGCTGGCTCAGGAGGGGCACCTACCCGCACTTCCTGACTCACAGTCCTCTAAGGCCCACGCAACTGGATTTCTCTCGAGCTGTGAGGACCCGGAGAAGGCCGAGCTGCGAGCATCTTCCGTGACCTCCTTGCCACCCACCCAGATGCCCAGGGTGGACACTGGAAGCCTGCCGTGTGCTCTGGGGGGGGGGGCGTTCACTTCCTAAGGGGCTGTAGCAAACCATCATGAACCACGAGACTGAAAGCAGCAGAAATTGACTCTACTGGGTGGCAGCTGGAAGTCAAAAGGGGACACATTGGCAGGACTCTGCCCTTTCCTGCTTGCAGTTTGGGAGCACCAGAATTTCTTGACTGTATCACTGCCTTCCATCTCCGTCCTCATGACCCTCCCCACTGTCGTGGAAAGATACTTATCCCTGGACTCAGGGACCACTTGATCCCTGATTCAGGATGGTCTCATCTTGAGGCCACTAAGGTCCCTAACGACATATGTAACACCTTTTCCCACCGGAGGCCACATCCGCAGAGAGAGGGCATAGTCAACCCTTCTAGCGTGGCATCATCACTGGGGCCATGTTATGGAAAGTGACCTCAGGTGGTCACTGAAGGTTCCTGGCCCTACCCCACCCTCACCCCTGCTGGTCAAGGATTGAGACGCAGTTCTGTTGGCCAGCGTGGCAGACAACGTCTCGCTATGCCCTGCTGCCTGCCTCATCCGTGACTCTTGATGCCGTGAGCTTGTACGTCACCATGGGTGTGCACAGTAGTGATTTACTGAACATCGCTGGTCACTTAGGAGTGCCCAATGCAGCTGACCTTGTGCTACAGCCCCCACGAATTCATGGCCTTAATTTGAGAGATTTTAGTCCTCATTCATGGTTTTACTTTGTGGGATTTTAGCCAACAGCAGTTCAAACTTATGATATGGAAAATGCCAAAAATAAAGAACCCACGGGTTTTTAAAGTAACTTTTATTACAGTTTAGAGTTACAGTGGTTCTATTTTATTATTAGCTGCTATCAGTCACTATCTATATTTGATTTGTCAAAAAAAATTCAATTTTATCATGGTGGAGTGGCAAGATGGCTCCAGGTGCTTGCTGTGGGGACCTGAGTTCAGTCATGGGACCTACATAAAGGCAGAAGGAGAGAACTAAGTACACAGAGATGTCCTCTGACCTCCACACATGGGCTGTGGCACATGCATGCACATGACGATAATAAATGAAAATTTTAAAATGTTAACTTTGTCACGGGTATGTATGCATAGGGAAACACAGGGTCCTTGTAGGAATTGGTATTTGGAATATAGCCCCTTACAGATGAGGAGACACTGAGTTATTAAACCATGTTTCTCAAGTGCGGAAAGTGAGTATTTTGGAGAGAGGAGCAATTTGCCTAAGAATACACAGCATGTCACAGAGCTGGACTGACACCCAGTCCCATTTAATGTGCTAAATCCTGTACCTCCAACCATCGATCCAAGCTGGCTCTTGGGTACACCACTTCCCAATCTTCTGATACACGTATGGGATCGTTCAGGGGAGAGTTTAGTGGGCTGTGAGCTGTTGCATGAATGTCATGCCATCCAGAACATTGGTGATTGTTACTATATCCTCCTCAGTGCCACTGAGGGACTCCAGTCCCTCCCATTCGAAAGAAATGTGGTCCACACCCAGGAGGAGGCCCAGTGACTTGCAGGCAGATGTGACTAGAGTCATTTGGCTTCTGGAAGAGTAAACAGCCACCTTAGAGCCATCATTTGCCTCTGTCCAGCAGCAGGACTCCTGGGAGATACACTCACGGCCATGGCAGGGAGGATGGCTGGACTCACTGCCCTCCCTCTCTGTTTTGTTCCTACCCTGGCCTAGGCATTGTGCGAGCCTCCAGTGTCTTTCCCATCCTCAGCACCATTCTGCTTCTGCTTGGAGGGCTCTGCATCGGCGCTGGGAGGATCTACAGCCGCAAGAACAATATTGTCCTCAGTGCAGGCATCCTCTTTGTGGCTGCAGGTAAGTGGGGCTATCCCTCTGGGGACAGGAGCTGAGGCCATGGTCGCATACCTGAGCACATGGCCTTCACTGTCAGGAGTGTGCATCCTGGTGGGAGGGCAGTCTGAAATTAGTACATGGTCAACTTTAAGAGGACGGATGCATGGGACTGAGGCCAGGGATGGGGAGTGTCTCCTTTTGAGGAGACGACCCTGTTACAAACAGGATTTGACACATTGTGAAGGGTTTGCACATCGTTAAGTGCACTAGATGCCACTGAATCCTCCAGGAGGGTTAATTTGATAGTGTGTGAGGCAAAAGAATCGGGAGCTCTTACTGGGAAAGATGGCTGCCATTCTCTATAGAGAGATACTTTGCTCAGTCTAGGTATGGGGGAGGTCCTGCCTCAAGGAGATATGAGACAGATATACTTGACTTCCTGAGGGAGGCCTTACCCTCTCTGAAGTGGGGTACGGGGGGGGGGCAGGAGAAGAGAAGGGAAGGGGAACTGGGATTGGAATGTAAGGAATTAAAAAGAACACTGGCTGCTCTTGCAGAGGGCTGGGGTTTGACTCCCAGCACACACACTATGACTCACAACCATCTGTAATTCTTCTGGAGGATCTGATGCCCTCTTCTGGCCTTTGCACGTGGTACATAGACATACGTGCATGCAAAACACCAATACACGGGTACACAAAACATTTTTTTAAAATGAAGATCAGGAATCCAAAGCCAGCCTCAGCTACCTAGGGAGGTCTGAGCCAGCCTGGGTTACATGAGATCCAATCAAAAGGAAAGAGGAAGTAAAAAAGGAAAGAGGGGTGAAAAGGGGTAGAAAGATGGAAAATTAATTACCAAACCAGCTGTGGTAGCACATGCCTGTAACCCCAGCACTTGGGAGGTGGAGAATTAATTGGAAGTTCAAGGTCATCCTCAGTCACTTAAATTCAGGACATGCCTGGGCTACGTTAGACTCTCAAAAAATAAAAATGAATTATCATAATAAATATATTTCTCGGGGAAGACTGGCCACCATCCCGCCTTCAGCGGCCTGTTCTCCGTCCTGACATTACTGTGAATGTGACCTCTGGTCTCCCCCTGTCCCACTTCCCTTTCAGGCCTCAGTAACGTCATTGGCATCATCGTCTACATTTCCAGCAACACAGGCGACCCCAGCGACAAGCGTGACGAAGACAAAAAGAACCATTACAACTACGGCTGGTCTTTTTACTTTGGAGCCCTGTCGTTTATTGTGGCGGAGACGGTGGGCGTCCTGGCTGTAAACATTTACATAGAGAAAAATAAAGAGTTGAGGTTTAAGACCAAGCGGGAATTCCTTAAGCCCTCTTCCTCCTCTCCTTACGCCAGGATGCCGAGCTACAGATACCGGCGACGGCGGTCCAGGTCCAGTTCCAGGTCCACTGAGGCCTCGCCCTCCAGGGATGCGTCCCCCGTGGGCCTGAAGATCACTGGGGCCATTCCCATGGGTGAGCTGTCCATGTACACACTGTCCAGGGAGCCCCTCAAAGTAACCACAGCTGCCAGCTACAGCCCGGACCAGGATGCTGGCTTCCTACAGATGCACGACTTCTTCCAACAGGATCTAAAGGAGGGTTTCCATGTCAGCATGCTGAACCGACGGACGACTCCTGTGTGACCTGCCCACCCACCTCTGCACCGGCCTCCCCAAGAGTGGCTGTTTGTGTGACACGAAACAGGGTGACCCTTAAGATTATAGACAGTGAACTGGAGCTAAGGGCAACCCTGCCTGGCATCCAGAAGATGCCATGGACTGGCTTAGATGGAAGGAAGCCTGGAGACCGGAAGCAGGGCTAGGGTAGAAACGGAAATCTAAACTTTCTCCCAAGACAGGGTGTATTGCTGCCCTCTGGGTCTCTGAAATTTCCCAGGAGGCCCAAGAATTTTCCAGAAGCTGCATCAGCCTGCCTCTTGGGAACCAGGAAACCAGTCACGCCTGAAGAAGATGTCAAACCCTTTCCCCTTACCTGGGCACTGGGCCACAAGAAGGCTTCTTCCAGAACTGGGACCTCTGGGCTCCCGTCAGCTGTTTCCTATCCAGAAGTTCCTGTGTCCTGGAGCCCTCCCTCCATTCCCTTCTGTGTGTCCCTCAGCCTCTGTCTGGCACCCTGGTGGAGCCTGTGGTTGTAAACAGCATCTGTCTTAAGAGAAAGTTCTATGGCTACCTGGTGCTTCGGCCTTCAGCTGTCCTGTGGCCAGTTTCTCTCCACCTCAGGAGACCAGGAATCCAGGGCAAAGGCCTGCTTCTGGGAGTTTCTACTGAGCTCAGAATGGGCAGGACACACTAACTAAACTTGGAGAGATCGGGAGGATTCCATGGGTCTGAGGCCAGGCAGGCACGCGGCCTCTTGCTGGGTCCCTCTCCACTTGCCTGAGGAACCATTCTGTCCCCTGAGCAACAGAGGACCCTGCTGGGGGGCGGAGCCATACTCCCACCTCCAAACTGGTGTTCCAACGCAGATGTGCGAACTTCAGTAGAAGAAAGAGCAGCCTGAGAGTAAGCAGAGACAAAAAAAGAAAGAGAAAGAAGAAGGAAGGAAGGAAGGAAGGAAGGAAGGAAGGAAGGAAGGAAGGAAGGAAGCACCAGTTTCCAAGTGGTTCTGAATCACAGAGGACTGAACGACAGCAGGACAAACTGCACTCAACTCTTCATCCTAAAAGGTAGCAATGACCTCTCCCCCAACTCCTGTCATCATAATTTATTCTGCTGACACCCGAAGGACTCCATGGACATATGACGTCAAGGGACCATCCTGGGCTTTCTAATGTTGCCTGACCTCCCCCTTCCCCTCTTGAGATGATCAAAAACCGTGAGAGTGTGCCCAGATTGGAAAGAACTCTCCAGAAAGTGGCACTCCCCCACCCTTTTCTATAACACGTGTGCTTTCTAAGGATCAATTGTTTCTTACTTTTTGAGACTTCTTAATCCAATCTTGAACAGTCATCTGTGACCCCGGTAACTGTCTCACTTGGAAGTGACAAGCCAACTCTTACCTCAGTCACCTGCTCATGGAGCCCCCTGGGCTGACTCAGAGTTCAGACCCAGCTCGTTTGCCTTTCCCTGCCTGCCCTCATTGGCCCCGCCACCCCAAAGGAAGACATCCCAAGTCATAGCTCCAGCCAACCGCCCATGAACTAGATGTGAGCTGAGATGCGAGCATGCTAGGGTTCCTTTGCACTTGCTCAAAGCCGTCCCCTCCTGGCCAGGTTGGCTCCTCGGCGTGTGTCAAAGCATCCACAGCAGCGAGCACCAGTGTGGTCTGTCCCCCCTCCCTGCCCACCTCCCCAGCCACCCCTACCTCTCCCACCAGCACTGTAGCAGTCTTCTGCGGCTGAAGGAAGCCTCCGCCCCCCAGGGAGACCCAAGACCCGGCTCATGTCTCTTCTGGAAATAAAACAGCCTATGGTAAACTTCCACACAAGCCACCTTCCCAGCTGTGGTCCCAGAACTTCCCATGATTCCACGTGAGAAAGCTGTGTTCCCATGAATCCTACCTCTTGTCCAGTCCCAGGCAGAGTACACAGGCCCAGTCCAAGGACCGAGAAAGAGCTAGAAGCAAAAGGAAGAAGAGACAGGGGTTGAACGTCAGCTGCTCCAGCCCTCACGGCCTTTCTCCCGCTGACTTTTGGCCTCACTCTGGGGACCCTCGTTGCCAGCTTGCCCTCCCCGTGGGACAAGGGGAATGGAGCTGGGCCCTACTGCTAACAGTCTCAGATCTGGCTCCCTCTCTGAAGGGACATGAGGCCTGAGCCCATCTTGCCACCCTCCTCTGTGCCACCCTCTCCCCTGTGTGTTTCACCAGTTAAGCCCCTGTGATCCTGTACCCACTAGTGGTTTGGGGTTGTTAGTTCTGTCTCTCTCTCTCTCTCTTTTTTTTTTTAATTAAATAAAAACATTTTTAAAATGTTCTATTTTTGATATAATGGGGGGGCTCCCCTGGGATCCTCATGGGTGTCTAGTACCCCAGGTGTCGGAATTGTGTGGAACATCCAAGAGAAGGAGGTTGGTAGGGTGAGGGCAGACACCACACGAACAAGACTGGCTTCTCTGGCTTGACTCTGAAGACCAGGTCAGGCTTGCGCTCTGGAGAAGGTACCACTAAGATGCTTTTCCATGGATACGCTGGGAGCAGCTGAGTGAGTCACCGGTGGGCCTGAACTCCCTGAGCCACGGGAACCAGTAGCTCAGCACACCCAGGGACACATTTTCCTAGGCCCCCTTCTAAGGCAGGAAGAAAGAAGGCTGAGTAACCAGGACAATGAGTTTAGACAAGCTGGGCCAGAGGGAACAACAGGCCTCAGCCTCCTAGCTTGGTGCCGTTCCCTGGGACCCCGGATGCAGGAGGACATCCCTTTCCCTGGGACCCCGGATGCAGGAGGACATCCCTTTCCCTGGGACCCCGGATGCAGGAGGTCATCCCTTTCCCTGGGACCCCGGATGCAGGAGGACATCCCTTTCCCTGGGACCCCGGATGCAGGAGGACATCCCTTTCCCTGGGACCCCGGATGCAGGAGGACATCCCTTTCCCTGGGACCCCGGATGCAGGAGGACATCCCTTTCCCTGGGACCCCGGATGCAGGAGGACATCCTTTTCCCTGGGACCCCGGATGCAGGAGGACATCCCTTTCCCTGGGACCCCGGATGCAGGAGGTCATCCCTTTCCCTGGGACCCCGGATGCAGGAGGACATCCCTTTCCCTGGGACCCCGGATGCAGGACATCTTGAAGGAGACAGTAGCTGAGACAAGAGGCCACTATGCTTCCCTGTGCTGTTTCAGGACTGGACCCCCGCCCCGGGCCCAGTCAGGGCTGCCAACTGCCACGGCCTCGGGTGCAGGGAAGGTAAGGAAAGGGAGAGAAAGGGCCAGAGCAGACTGCCCACCGAGCTCTGCTTGGCAGATGGCACAGGTCCCGAACAGCAGCTGCTGTTAGTCACTGTCCCCTCCTGTGTGACCCTTTGCTGGGTATCAGGTGTGAAGAAAGATCATCATTGACTTCCCCCATTCTACTCACTCTGGGATCTGGGACCTTCCCATCTCAACACACACACACACACACACACACACACACACACACACACACACACACACACACACACACCGTCTCATAGGACTGAGATCTGGGATTTTCTTCCTGACAGTGGTGGGCTTGCCTGGTCTCTCTGAAGCCAAACTCTTCGCCTCCTTAGAAGCTTTTTACATCCTAGTCCCAGGGAAGGCCATGAAACTGGGAGACTGAGATGTGTTGCCCCCATACTGCTACCCTCTCCCTCCCAGCCTGTCTGAACTCGGTGTCCTGGTTCCTTAGTCTTCTTTCAGAAACATGGCCCCAGGTATGCTGAGCCACCAGGACAGCCTGGGGACTTCAGGCTTTTGCCTGGTCCCATTAGTGACCATGCTGTACACCGACTGTGCTGTTAGCTTGGGACCAGTTCTGCCTGGAGTTAGCACCTTGTGCCAAAACGCCCATGTCTACTGTTTATTCTTAGCCTGGAGGAAACCCTGGCTCAGCAGAAGCTGCCCAGCCATCCTGGGCTGACTCTCGTGCCAGACTGCATTTAGGGACTTGCCACCAACTCCCACAGTCACATGGTCACGTGTTTAGTTCAGCTAAAACTGCTGCCTCCGTAACTTGCAGAGCTAGGTCTGTCAGAACCAACACAGAAATCAGTTCCTTAATGAAAATAAGCTCCAGGGCTGGAGATGGGGGATGGATGGCTCAGTCAGTGAAGCACTTGCTTTGCAAGCATGAAGGCTTGAGTTCAATCCCCAGAACCTACTTACAAACATCAAGCCTAAGGTGGTGGCCACTGGCAGCCCCAGTATTAGGAAGGCAGCTCTCTCTGCCAATCAAATGACCTCCAAGGTCAATGAGAGACCTAAAGGAGGAAGACAGGGTTCCTGTGAATGGTTTCTATACATATGTGCACCACCATACATATGAACCACACACACATACAATCATTTATAAAAGAAAAAAGAGTAAACACTCATAACCCAGCCATAGATGCTAGTCCTCACTGTGTTACTTAAGAATAGGCCAGCTACACACTCAACAGCCCAAGTGTAAATGCTGAAGATAAGAACTTAATTTCTTATATCAAGTGTGGAGCCAGGCCCATGGGGGAATTTCTGGCTTCATAAACTCACACAGAGGAATCAAAGAGCCCGGCAGTGCCAGAAGCTTGGCTATGCCAGTAGAGTACCTGTCCTGTGTCACTAAAGTGAAGCCACTAGAGGCTTCAAGGGAGGCAGGAGAGCCCAGCAGGAAAACCTTGACTTCAGGTCCCTGTTGTGGGTCCCAGATACAGCACCTGGCTGCTGTATCTGGGACCCAAGATGAGAGGTATGAGGGAAGTGGGCGGGGCTTAGAATGCAGTGAGGAGATGGAGTAGATACTCTCAGTAAAGATACTTTTAAACTTGTAGCTTTCAACAAAACTGCCAAAGCGACCTCAGAAGCAGAAGTCTACAGTCCAGGAGAGTTAACACCACATGCTTCTGCCTGCAGGGGAGGGGCTTGTCCTTCTCAGCCTTTGTCCCCTGATGAGAATTCTAGAGGACATACAAGCTCCTGCAGGATACCCAGAACCTACCAATAAAATTGCAATAGCCAAGTGCATCTAAAAAAAAAAACAATAAACTTCTGTTTTCAAAATTCTATGGTTAATACCTTTGCCTTTAAGAAATAAAGAATTATAAGGGATTGCCCAGTCAGCAGACATGAGTTTTTGGATCCCCAAAACCCAACTGAAAAGCACAGTCATGGCAGTGGATATCTGTAACCCCAGCGCTAAGATGGGCTGAGACAGGTGGGTCCTTGTGGCTTGACAGCCAGCCAGCAAGTCTGGCTAAATCAATGAGCTCCAAGTTCAGCAAGAGACCATGTCTCAAACAAAGATGAACAGCAATAAAGAAAGACATTCAGGACCGACCTCTGGTTTCTGTACACACACACACACACACACACATGCACACATAAATTACACTAGAGAGAGAGAGAGAGAGAGAGAGAGAGAGAGAGAGAGAGAATGTTAAAGAAGAAAAAGTATCAATCAAAAGTCTACCAGGGGCTGGAGAGATGGCTC